AATGCAGAGCCCCCCAGACTGGTGGCCAGGACCTGGGCAGTGTGAGTGCAACTGAAAATCAGCTTGCGTGCCGCCTTCGGCACACGTGCCGCAGGTTGCCTACCCCTGAATTACACTCACAACTAGTCCATCCAAATATCTGATATCTTACCTCTTCTGGATTTTAGATGGTTCACTCTTCCTGAGCACGTGCTGAGATGGTGGAGTGTTTGTGGGGAAGATGGATGCTTGACCCTACATGGAGATTGTTTGGTGCTCCCCCTTCTCTGGTTGCTTGCTGACTGCATCCTCTGCTAATTTTAGCTTTGGCTCTTAGTGTATGTCATCATAAAATCTTGTATCACTAATTGAATGCTCAGCTTTAAGTCCAGTTTCCATCAGAAAACTCCAGATGGAAAAGTTTCTAGTATCTTAGTCGTCACTTCAACTTCTTGTGTTTGTTATGCTCCAGAGAAAATCCTTCCATAGTGCCACTTGGTTTCCAAAAGCTTAAGATGCCTTTGGCACATGAATAAGGATGGTAGTCAAGATACCTGAGTTAGTTACCTGTGGTGGTTAGCTGCATAAAGAGCAAAGCAGGGCTGAGCCAAAAGGCGTTTTCTCTTTCTCAAGAATCAGTCTTTCCCACAGTTTATGATGAGCTTCGATCTTAAAGTATCATTCTTATTTGGATTTTCTTTAGTAAATTGTTCAGTTCAGGTTTTCCATGCAGGTTCTCTCCAGAAACAGCCTCCAGAAGAGGGCTCAGCACAGCAGAAATTAATGCTGTGGAAGCAATTCACAGAGCTGTGGAATTTAACCCTCATGTCCCAAAGGTAAGAACTGACTTTTTTTCTCCTTATGGGATCATTTTAGCTTACTATCTGAAATATAGTCACCGTTTGCAGTGGTCCTGGAGTCTCGCTACCCCTGTGAAACATGTGACTACTTCTCTGTGGTTGAAGTAGGCTGAGGATAGCTCATGTAGAACCTGAAACTACTTGGAAATCCTGGGTGAATCGTAGCATGGATAGAAATAATAGCATCCACCACTAATGACTGCTATAGTTAAGGTTGCAAATCAGCCTGAGCCTCATCACTCCTGAGAAGGTGGGGAACTCACTGGCTGCCTGCTCCTCCAGCGTTGTGCCCCAGGTAACGCCATAGGGAGGCAGGGCCCAATCCGTACTGATGGTCCCAGCAACCAACACCAAGGCGGTGCATCCAGGAGCAACAGGGAGGGGGAAGGGGCATTACTCCCCTCCCCACCCTCCACCCCCCCATCACAGCCCAGGAGGCTGTGGCCACATTTGAAAAACGCTAGACTTCCTGATTTTTAGTCCAACTTCTGCTGCTAACTTATTATTTAGCACTTTCCAAACATTTAATTAAGTCTCTTAGCACATCAGTAGAGTAGGTAACAATATAATTGTCCCACTTCACAGATGGGGAAACAGGCACAAAGAGTGGAAATGACTTTTCTAAAGTTTTGTATTAGAACTAGGATTAGAAACCACATGTCCTGATTGCTGTGCCTGTGCATAATCTGCCACTATAACACTTCTCAAACAAGGCACCTAATTTCTGTCAGTTTCCTCATCTGTAAAATGGGCACAATACTGATACTTGTCTAATGGGTAGGACCTTTGCCAATATTCAACTTCTTGTTGGGGAAATTACAACCACTGAGGTTAAGGGTGTCCAGAAGCAGATATAGATGGAAGCTGTTCAGTTTGACGATTTTATGATAACTGCATCTTTGATGGAATACCCCCATTTAACCCAAGTTGAGTTGGGACTGTAATTATTGTATGTTGGTGCAAACTGTTCTTGAATTAGAAATTTCTTTGGGCATAAATAGCAAAATTGCATGCTCTTAATAGTAGCTTCTCTGACAATTTCAAACAATGAACCTATTAGATCAAATTTCCTGTGTTTTAACTATAAGTAAAAGCTTTTTCTAAACATCTGAAATTCTGGAGTTTGCAAGTGCAGATAAAGACTGGACATGTAAAATATCAAATAATTAACAATAGGGAACAGATTCCCAAAAGAATGTCTGAGTCATTATTTTAGTCCCGAGTACATTTCTGTACCAATCTCTCTCAGAAATTTCTCCCACTTGTAATTAAACAAGTGCATGGAACAATATTCCCAAATTCCCCTCCAAGGCAAACCGCACAATATATCTAGTTTAGCACAGAGTGCCTACTCCTGTTGCAGCAGTAATTGCATACTAGAAGAAATCCTTCTGCTGCTATAAAGCTTAAGGGCCCAGAAGCCATGACACAACTTCTGGGAGAAAATGGTGAATTAGCTACATTTTCCTGCTGTCCTGGCTAGTAAATCCTCTGTGATCTAGTGATTACAGGACTAGAAGTCAGGGATGGTACTGAGGTCTTATGTGACCGAAGATAGTAATTTGCTGGGCAAGCTACTTCACCACCTTACACACCACTTGTTCTACCTGCAAACTCGGGGCAAAGGCAGAAGATTACTCTTCTGAACCTTTTGGCAACCGTCTGCTTACCAGAGGACTTTCCAGGCTTATTTTCCTAAACATCTCCTGTGACTAGCAACTTTTCTATGTAGTAAAGCTGTCTTTTTAACACTGTACTTGATAACATTGGCAAGAGTTAGCATTATCTTTAAAGAACATAGCAGCAAAATGGCTACGGATAGAATTGTTTATCAGGGAGTCTTTGCCATTTCCCTCTCTGGGTTTAAAGGGCCTGGCTATCCATAGCATGCATTTTGTTAAAGAGGGAAACTTAGTGTGGTGGATTAATCTCCCTTAGCTGCAAATTTGCTCTTAAATATTTCATTAGCACTAATTGCTTATACAGGGCCTTGATTCATCTGAATAGATAATAGTTTGAATAATTCTGTGCTTAACCGCTATACATAAACACATGTAAGCTGCTACATCCTTGTGGTTACATAGGAAGATCTTTTTAAAATCAGCAGCATATTTAAAATATTTATGCCTAGATGAGAAATCACTTATTTGGTTATCACATGCAGACTGCGACAGCATTAGCTTCGTTACTGTGAGAATGTCTGTGAAGCTGAAAAACAAGGGTGTCAGAACACACTTTTCATTGAGCTGCAGCCATTAGCAGATCCGAATGAAATATAAAACTGAACAAATGGGCTAAATGTAACCATACCTGCAGCAGATGTCCTCACTGTTTCACCAGGATTGTCACAATATGCTGTGATAACTGCACCCCCATGAACTGTTAAAATTGGCTTACAGCACATGTCCTGTTCCCTGCCTGTCTAAGCCTCACTGTGCAGTCTTTCCTGCTAAGACAAGGCCTATGTTTGCACGCTCCCCTTATCAGGGAAATTTTCTTGAGGACTGTGGTAATTCCAACCCATTATTGGTATTAGGCCATTTAATATTTATATCACAGCAGTACTTGGAGGCCCAGACAAGGTCTCTGTGCGAGGTGCTATACAAACCACAGTCATAGGTCCTGTCCCAAAAAGCTTACGGTCCATGCTAAAATTTTCTGTCCTCCTCAGGGCAGTCTGCTTGTGTGCTACTGAAGACACTGTCAGGCAAGGGTAACGGCTAATTAAAATGTGTAGTCTTCAAAATCCCTGAGGCTGGACAGGCCTCTCCAAGGAGTAACTACTTATTTTGTTTTTCTAGATTATTGGCCTTTAAAACCCTGATAATTGTATGAGATCTGAAATCTCTAATTCAAAACAGTATGTGTTCATCTCTCCCCCCGCCTCCCAGTCTGTATATGAACAAAAATAAAACCAGTTCACTCTTGTGCTGCCATTCATGTCTGCTAATACCTGAAGTGGCCTGATATTAGGCTCCCCAAGCAGGCCATGTAACTAAAATCTAGAGCAGCACAGGACTTTTTTGCCTAGGGAAAATGTCAATTTGTTGAAAAGGAAACTTTTAATGGAAATATCAGTTTTGACAAAATCTTTGGGAAGAGGGAGCAAGAGACATCCCCTGCCAGAACTTCCCACAGCTTGATGGTTAGGGCACTCACCTGGGATATAGAAGACCCTGCTCCAAACCAGGCAGGGTAGGGGCTTGAACCCATATCCCCCACATACCAGGCAAGTGCCCTCACCACTGGGATACTGGCTATTTCAGGGTGGGGGGTCTCTCTCTCTCCCCCCTTTCCCCCCCCATACATTTTTTTCATGAAAATTTTCAAATGATCTAGATTTTTGTTCCAATGCACAATGAAAACGTTGAAACCTCAGAATTTTTTGTGATAAGGAATTCTTGTTTTCCGGCTAACCTTACTGAACTCTCAGCAACCCCTTTACTAGCACTGTTGATACGTGCAAGTTGTAGTCTTGAAAGTGGAAAGATGGCTTAGCACTAATTCTCCTCAACTAATCATGGAGTCCAAATGAATCTAGACATGAAGGTCTGAATTTATCTATCCACAGTGTTCTGTCTGCCTGTCCAGTTTAATAGAATGTGCATGGAGAAAGCTAATTGCTGAGAGAAATTGCTGCTTGTTCGCATGATTGATCAAGAGTGTAGCAAGTTCATTTCAGGCAGTCTCAGACAGATTTTTCTTCAGACTGTGCCTTTAGGGGAAGAAGATTATAACACATTATCATCACCTAAAAGTTCTTTTATTTTGTGTATCCTTCAGAACCCTTATGTTCTCTGAAAGAGTTATATTAAACTACTTAATCAGTCTTTATGTGAGATGCATTGACTAGTTTTGTAGACAATCAACTAAATTAGTATCATGTTTCAATAACTGTGTCTTCTCCTCTGATCATACGCCAATTCAGACTTTTATTACTTGTATTACCGTAGCACCTAAGGGCCCCAGTTGAGATTGGGAGCCTGTTGTTTGTAGAGTTTACAGTCTAAACAGACAAAGCAGACAAAAGACAGGAGGGAAAATGGGCACAGGGGGGTGAAGTGACTTGCCCAAGGTCACACAGAAGTCCAGTGCCAAAGCTGGGAATAGAACCCAGGTCTTCTGAGTCTCAGTTTGTGGTCCTATCTCCTGACCAAAAATGTACCTACATAAGGTAGACATTCATCTTTCTTTGCATTTAATGGAAGTGGTTGGTTTGGGGGAATAACATCATGCAAGGGAAGTGAACAACAGGTGTTTTCTTTTCCTTTCATTGCAGTGACACTTCTTTGAGATGGATCTTATTCTGAAAGGGTGGGGGGGGGGTCATCTTAGCATATTATTTTGTTTCCCCTTTTAGAGGGGAGGCACTGAGTCAGAGCTATAAATCCAGATCCCTGTCCTATATTATAATAGGAATGAACTACAGGCACTGAGATGTAACCAGGAGAGGATTAGGAAAGGGGGTCTCAATATTGCAAACATAAGTTTGCTTTGAATTGGGTGAACGAGTAGCTTTTGGAAATAGACATTTTCTGCATTAGTACCTGGTTTGCTTTTTATTACCTAAAACTAAATGGTTAAACAGGGACTAGAGGAAGTGAAGTTCAAAAATTTGCAACTGCCTCTTTTATTTGGACAGCACCGTAAATGTGCCTGGCATAACACACACAAGGCAAAATACATGATCCCTGCCCTCTAGAGCTGACAAACATGTTGAGGCACTAATAATTACATCGAGGCTTCACCATTGCTGCTACATTTTCCTTCCCTTACTGTTTAAGCACTTAATTCAACTGCCAACTAGTCACTGCAGAGAGTATGAGGAGTCATGTCAAAGGTCAGATATTTGAGACCATTTTCCCACAGCAGCCCTGTGCGAGTGATCCTTTACCGTGTTAAAAAAAAAAATAGAAGGGATTAAAAAGGATTAGCAAGAATATTACCCTCCAGAGTGCAGGCCCAAGGCACTAAGAGAAGAACCCAGCCAGGCAGTAAATGTGCTTTATTTGGCCAGAGCACAACCTCTGCTACATTCCTTCAAGAATCTGAATGGGAAAAGTTAAGTCCCCAAACTGGATTAGTAAATAATCTCATAGTTTGTGGCATCTGCTGAAATAAATCGGTGAGTTGACTGCATTCTTATACTTTGGGAGGGAGTTAAAGGAATTACCAGCTACACTGATCAAAGATGAGGATTAACTTTGGCCATTATTGAGTGGGACACTATATACTACGAAAGGACAACTCATAAGCATATACTAGAAAATTGGAACATTCATTTTAAACTTGTAAAATTATTTAACATTTCTTAAAAACAAAGTTGAGAATTAAAACAAATTGGCTTATCTTCCTCCGCTGCATTTTAAAAAATAAAAATAAACTGAACATCCTGTAAGGTTTTAGAAAAATGTAAAATGTTTGTTTAGAAATTCTGCAATTTTCATAGTGCATATGCTCCGTTTTATGCTCGCCGCCTCCCGTTCTGAGCATCTAAAATTGGGAGTTCACTGCCTGGAAATAAGTGAGTGTGTTCTGCCTGTGTATCGGCGCACCATCACTTCTGCCTTCTCCCATCACCTTGTAACCGCAGCTATAGTTGTGCCAGCACAACATAGCTGTGAATTAAGGATGGGATTTTCAAAAAAGTGCTCAGCATTGGTTTAACAGCTCCCATTGAAGTCAGTGGAATCAGAGCTAGATCCGTGCTTGGTACTTCTGAAAATACTGTTCTAAACTTTACAATCAAGGATATACCTGATAGCCTGGCAGTTAGCATCAGTTTCTAATTTGCACCTGACACTTGGGAACTAACAGATCTTAAACCCTTTAGATTGAAAGTTTTCAGAGGCAAAGGTATCAAGGTGCAAATGAACCTAGACTTGCAGCAAGCACTTCAGTGTCATATCATTAGCATTGCTTTACATGGAGCTCTTAACAGAGTTAAAGGATGACTTCTGGGATACCGGTGTATGAAACACTTGCGCTTAATCAGTCCACTTTCCTTTGGCCTTCATGGAGCATGACCTGATGCAGCATAAAACCTGTGTATATGTGTGTGCGTTTCCCCAGATAAATTACCTTGTGTGTTATGATCCAGGAACTACACTTCAGACATAGAAGGGTTTTAAATCTCCTCACTGAAGTAAAATGCAGATCCATTTTGATAGCATATATATTTTTTAACATTCTGAGTGTAACATTCTGCTGAGTTTAGCAGCCCAAGCTCCCAATTTTTCTGTGTAAATAAGATCTGTCAAGAATTTATCAGGACTGGGCCCTAAATTGCAATACCTCCTTAATGCATTAAAGACCTCCATATGCTATGCTCTGGTCATTTTGAAAAAATCAGGGAAATCCTTTGGCAGTAACAAGGATTTGGGCATGGCCCCATAACTAAGCATGCTTTCTCTTTCCATTTTCTACTTCTAGTACTTACTAGAAATGAAAAGCTTAATTCTACCTCCAGAGCATATTCTGAAACGAGGGGACAGTGAGGCAGTAGCATATGCTTTCTTCCATCTTCAGCACTGGAAGCGGATAGAAGGGGCCCTTAACCTGCTGCATTGTACATGGGAGGGCAGTAAGTATCTTTTTTTTTCCAGTGCAGCTAGCTATTTATTCTCTCTACCTTTTTATTCAAATCATTCATAATAGGCCTACTTTAACCAGTGTCTGAACTTCCTTAAGGCAGCCTTGTTCAGTTCAGTTTCAAAGGGAACTCAGTGCTGTTGTTTGGCTTTTTGCTGGAGATGCTTAATTGATGCCACATTACAGGAAGGCAAAGGGATTTACCCAGGGGGATGTAGACAACTACTATCAATAGATACAACTATTTGTATTCATCAGCAGGGCTCCAACGATAGCGGTTCACTGCCATATACAGAACTAACACTTTTTGTGGCCTCCACCAACTTGTTTCCTCCCCCCACAAAAGCTCCCCAGTGTGTCTGTGTCACTGGGCAATGGGAGTCAGTGCCACCAAGCAGCCAGGGTATAAAAAGCCGCACTGAGGCTGCAGACACCCTTACCTAGAGAGGGACCTAGGGCTGAGAACAGCCAGCCTGAACTGGGATGGGGTTGGGGGGGAGTAGGTCCTGAACAGTCACCTAGGAAGAGGTCTGTGTTTGCTTAGCAGCTAGCCAGCAACAGCTCCCGTGCTTCTGCTGGCTGAATCAAGAAGCCAGGAGTGACCCTGGCAGGTCAGGATGAAGAGCAGCAGCAACCCCAACAAGAGCAGAGCAGAAGAGACCAATCCACCCCAGATCAAGACCCAGTGGGATTTGTTAATTGTTTGCTTTTCTTTCACTGTTTGATTAAAACGTGTTTATCTTATCTGTTAAGTCTCTGTATGGAGCTAGACTGTACCGGAGACTGAAGCATCCTCTTTCTTCTCCCCAGAACTGGGGTACAGCACAAGCAGCAGCAGTGCAACTTGGCACACACATACACACCTGCCATCATGCCCTAACATGCAGTTGGCCACCTTGTTGGCATTGTCAGCAGGGAGAAATGGAATGTTCCTTGGAGACTGAGCTTCCTTCTCACTCCTGGAGGGGCTTGCTCCACGATGGAAACACCTTGGTAGGGGGGTACAAGGGGCATGCGCTGCTGCTTATACTGGAACAGATCTGTAGAATAATAGGGCTCGTCCGTCTCTAATGTTGCTGTCAATCTTCTCTCTCATCTGTATTTGTACAGCACCCAGCACAAGGGGGCCCCCAGTCCTAATAGTAGAATTTATACGGTGGTAGGACCCCATCCAGACTGGGGCCTTTGAGTGCCAGCGTGGTATGAATTCTTACTAGAGATACGACACCTTTCTCCAAATTCACTTCTAAAAGAAAATACAAAATACAAGATGCAGCTATTTTCAGTCTATTTCTAAATTTGCTTTCTTCGTGACTGAGAGGTTCTTTGTGGTGGAATTTAGGGGGTTTGTTTTGCACATAGGTCTAGCATAAGTCTGACTGACTGTCTTGTCCTCAGCATTTAGAATGATCCCGTATCCGTTAGAGAAGGGCCATCTTTTCTATCCCTATCCTAGTTGCACAGAGACAGCAGACAGAGAGCTATTGCCAAGTAAGTGGTTATTTTGTTTCTAATTAATAACTAGAATAAAATATATGTAATAAAATTCCAGTGTGTACTGTACTGTATTGCTGTGTATTTACTCTCTTGTGTCCTTAGCTCATGAACTGCTTGTGACATGGATTCTGCTGTTTGTCTGGTGTATTTGGCCAGATGGAATGCACTGTGCAAATGCAACAGCAGTATAGGTTGTAACTTTGCATCCCAAAGGATCCCAAGGCAGTTCACAAATGCATGTGTGTGTGTGTGTGGGGGGGGGGTATAGAAATATATAATATTACATACTTTCCCACTGAAATGCAGCCACCATTTGGATGAAATAAACTGTGTAACTGAATAGCGGCACTGCCCAACAGTTTAGTGGGGAGAGTGAGAAACGCCATACCAATTGCAACAACAAGGGGAATTTAAGCCGATGGACTATAATAACATCTTGGCATCCGTACCAAATTCCAGTTTAGTGTACACCTAGACTGAGTGCCATGGGATCTTTAATGACCACTGGCTATCAGAAATTAAGTTTTCAATCTCACTTGGATGGAGTCCCCACCAACGGCAAAGCGCACCTCTCTGCTGACGCCTTAAATCAGGACCAAATGCTAGCAGAGGGTGCCACCAAGGGTTTACTGAGTTGCCAGTGAGTGTTACCCTATGTCATGAGGATTTTGTAATAACATCATGTCTGGCGGAAAGAGGCTTCCATAACTGGTGCTTCCACATTCTGTTTCTCAACTTGGAGGGCAAGAAAACTTGGCTAGTCCTCTGTGATCAACTTCTTCTTCTTTTTTTTTTTTTAAGTAATGGGTTCCCTGACTGTTGTAGTGGAGCTGCAAGTAGCAGGTAGATAGATAATCATTCCAGACTCTTGCATTAGAGTACCCAGCAGAACCTTTATATTTATCATCCTTGGATAACCTGTAGTTTGAGAGAACACTTTATTGTTCCATAATTTGATTTGATTGATTGTACATTCCATGGAATATTTATGATCATACATTGCTGTACATTAGCAATGAGACCTAAGATTTGACACTGAAGAATGAGTCTTCTCCTCTACTTCGTTATCCAGGTATTAGCCCACATATATGCTGTCTGTAAAGCAACCTGAAAATAAACCACTAGGACCCTCACTCACTCTGTCGCTCATTCACTTAGATGATAATGGGGCTCTTGTTTCATCTTACCTGCTGGTGGGATTCTAAAGGTGGGCTTCAACAACTCTGGAAATCTCAGCTTCTTCATGGAATTGCAGGGGCTACTGCTAAAGTGACAGAGGGATACAGCTGCAGAAGAGCAAACTTACACATGTGTGTTTCTGTTACAAAAAGTGAAAAGTTAAATTTAAAATGTGTAATTGAAGTCTGCCCCCAGACTGCTTTAAATTATTCATTTCTCACTTATGCAGGATATTGCACAAGGAATTCTTTGGTTAGTGACTAACCCTAAGCTGTAGGCTTTCCAGCATAATTAAACACCAGCACATGCATGTATTTCAACACAATCATTCACGCATTCCTGCTACGTTTTAAATATAAGGCTATTCATAAAATAAAGCCATCTTAACATTTTTTATTGTGCAGCTTTCTCAAGAAGCCTTGGAATTTAAAAAAAAATCAATTCTTTTAATATATTTGAAAATAGAAAGTAAACCAAATTGAGGTTTAAATTGATAAACTTCAAATAGAAAGCTAATTGTTCTAATTGGTAAGGATGCACAAAGAGAGAGCTCTGACCATGCAGAAATCTATTTAGCTCCTTTTACATACTTTGGGCCTGATCCTGCATTCCTTGTGTAGTGGCAGTTCTGGGAGCATAAGGAATTCTTGTATATTTTTATTTGTTGCTCTCCCCAATTTTTCCTGGCTTTCCTACTCTTGTGTTCAGGTTGCTTGCTAGTTTTCTACTATTTGTTCCTCTCTCTAGTTCCTGTTTAAAAAGCACCCCCCTCCAACCCATATATGTCCTTAATATATGGTTTCACACCATTCTGTGAGCTGACCATGTCCCAGTTCAGTTTTTATGAGGGTGGCTGATGGAAGATGGAGTTGTCAAGCTTCATCATGGGCAGGCCACTGCTTTGTTTGCCCAGTAGAAGAACAGTATGGGTATCCTACTTGTCTGCTGAGTAGCAGGGATGACTAGATGTCAAGGAGGTGAAATGAGAGAGAATCTTGAGGGGAGCACCCTTAAGCATGTTTGATTAGGACTTATTTTCTTTTCCTTTGGCATCTGGCCTCACAGAAAACCTTAGCGTTCCACATCATTGTACTTCAGAATCTCAGCTTTCATTCAACAATTTTTTTTCTAGCCTTCATGGGTTACAAAGGAAAGGTTGCATCGCAGATCGGGTCACATTTGCAGTTATCACTTCCTGAATTTGAAGGCAACCTGAAACTTGGTGACATCTTGATTTAACTCTGTCATCTTTAAATTTCCTTCTACAGCCTACTGAAAGCTGAAAATGCGCACAACCCAAAAGTGAATAAAAATAAAAAACACTGGCTATTGCACCGACTATACCTATTTTCCATATTTAATTAAATCAAAAGTTACTTTTTGCTGGGTCTGCTCCAGAATTAAGTCTAGTTTACTGAAGAATATACAGGACTTTTCATACTTAATTGCATGTACAGACCCTGCCTGTTCCTTTTATTTAAAAACATTGCAAAATTGTTGGATAAAAAATCTAGAATTGTCACAGTCCCTAGATGGTGACCACTTTCAATGTCTTGAGCTGTCGAAGCTCCATATTCCACTCCCAAGAGCTGTCTAGGGAAATTATTTTGATTTCTTTGCCCTAAAGTGTAACTAATGGTTGTGTACAAAATTTGTAGCCCAGTCTTGATGCTGCTTTCTTTGAGATCTGCTTTGTCAATTGCTGTGAAATTTACTGTAGTCTGCCAGCTTGCAGTCTTTGGGAAGTTTTAACAGAATCTGACCATGTATATTATCTGATTGCTTTCAGAGTTATTTTACTTTTTAGACATGGGAATTCTTAAGATAGAAAAACATTACATTAAAAAGTAGGAAAAAATAGGATGCTTGCTTTTTAAAACATTGGCATACACTAAAATAACAATTTAGCATTTGTAACTGTTACAAATTCCTTGATTATTTAAATTGGGCCAAGTGTTTTCATTGGAACCTTTGTCTTGATGACATCTTGTGAATTTTATATTACTTTCTTCTCTTCTGTTGCAACAGTTGATTCCAAAAATTAACCCTGCAATGTTCTTTAAAATAAAGGAGAGAAAAAAGTGGTGGGGGAAGGATAGCTTTAGTGACACCAAAAATAACTAAAGAGCAAAAACACGTAGTATATAAGAAAATATATCAGGACTAAGCCACTTAAATCTGCTTTGAGCAAATGTCAGGGATTTAGTCTTGTGTTGCACTTAAGCTTCGGGTCCATGTATATGTCCTTTGGAACTATAAATCTGAATGTAAAACACTGGCTGCTCTGCAATAATAGTTCTCTTTGACATATTTGCATAATGTAAACTGGTGTGTAATTATGACCTTTTGTAAAACAATCAGTGAATATTAAAATGTCAAATAACTTTTCAATATTTCCCTTTCAGCGTTTCACGATGTCTCCGTTTACCCACAGAAGGAGCTTCCTTTCTTCATCCACTTCACAGCAGGGTTGTGTTCCTTTTCGGCAATGCTTGCCGTTCTCACACACCAATTCCCTGAACTCATGGTCATTTTTGCTAAAGCTGTAAGTATTGTCTCCAGTCCAGGACTTGCTTAGAGTGTTTGTGAGATATTCAGAAGCTGAGGGCCCTGTCTGTGCAGATGTTTTGAGATGCAGTTAAAATGCATTGTCATGTGCTTCTGAAGTTCCTTGTCATGTAACTATTAAACTTGATTCTTCACTTGGACTCAGAGTTCCTCATTTTGTAAAGAGAAATATTTTTATATTATAAAGCTGGTTTCTGCATATCAATCTTAGTAGATAATCCGTCCTGATTACCAATTTAGGAACACCCCAGCCCTCTCTTTCTCCCTTGGCTGGAAAGGCTGTGGAAGAGAATTTGGTTTGCGGATTAGACCTATGTGTCACAGACATAGCTTCTGATTTTTAGTTTAAATTGAATTATTGGAAGCAAAAGCTTCTGAATTTCGAGTTAAGGGCTTTTCAGTAACTAATAGGTTAAAACCAAAGCCATGGGAACATTTAGATTGTAAGCTCTGTGAGGCAAGGACTCTTTTTATAGCTACATCTTGTACCATGCTGAGGGCATTGTCTGTGCTTAACAAATACAATTTTGCACACACCCTCTCAAGCTGTTTAACCTCCTCCTCCTACCCCATTGCTGCTTGATGCTACTGCTTTTCATTCTGCAAAATGCTGGATAGTGACCATCCAAAGATGCTTCAGTAGTGACATTAAGGGCTGAAAAACATGTGCAAAACACTTTCATTGCAGATAAAGTTGGAAAGCAAATAAGTGAATCCCCAGAACAGGGCTTTAGTAAGTGCGGGACCCGATTCGACTACCCGGCGGCGGTCCGGGTCTTCGGCACTTTGGCGGCGGGTCCTTCACTCGCTCCGGGACTTCGGCGGCACTGAAGGACCCGCCACCAAAATGCCGCCGAAGACCCGAAGCGAGTGAAGGACCCGCCGCCGAACCGCCACCGGGTGAGTAAAAATTAAAAAGGTGCCTAAGTTAGGTGCTCTTCTTTAGGGTGCGGGGCCCTCTTAGGCGTGGGGCCCAATTCGGGGGAATCGGCCTAAAGCCGGCCCTGCACCAGAAAACCTGCTAATAAAATAGCCCCTTTTTCACATGCATCTCACTTCTCTCTTGTGCCTCTTCCCTCTTCTTTGCCTTTAAAGATCTGGGAAGCGAAACTGCACATGAAAGGTGTTAATTATGTTACTTAGTGTGCTTCTGGAAAGTGCTCAGATACTATGGTGATGAGCATGGTATCAAACCTATCTAGAATAGAGGGAGAGTGGTCTAGTTAGTGTGACCAGACAGCAAGTGTGAAAACTCGGGACAGGGGGTGGGAGGTAATAGGAGCCTAGATAAGCAAAAGCCCCAAATATCAGGACGGTCCCTATAAAATCGGGACATCTGGTCACCCTAAGTCTAGTGGACAGGGCAGTGGCCTGGGATTCAGGAGACCTGGCTTCTGTTCCAGCTCTTCTACTGATCATCTGGGTGACTGTGGGCAAGTCCCTTTATCTCACTACACCTCTGTTTTCCCTGCTGCTGTTTTTGTCAGTTTAGACTGGAAGGTCTTCAGGGTGGGGCTGTGTCTTACTGTGTGTTTGTACCATGCTCAGTGTGGAGGCGCCCCAGTTTCAGTTGGGACCTGTAGGCACTACTCTTTTATAAACAAGCAGGCAGTAGTAAAGTCGCTCGGTAGTTAATGGAGCTGGTCTCCCTGGAGCGCCTCTTCATCAATTGCATTGTGTTAAGCCACTGCTACTGTGAGCCTGGGAGGCAGAGTCTACATCCAGCCAGAGCAGCGTTGTCTTCCTGCTCAGAGAGAGTTCTTTCTAAACGTGCAACAGACAGTACAAGGGGATTTTACAGAAATACCCAATGGAGTATTACACTGTGCTGTGACTTTCCTGATGGCCATGCAGTCAGTCCCTAGTGGGAGGGCTGGGAAACACCCCATAGCACTGTGCACCTCTTGGCTAATGTGGAAGGGTCACTGCTAGGCTCCATGGGGAGGCTGCACAGGGTGGAGTGAAATGGGAGTCCCCTACATAGATAACTTCCATACAGGCTTCTACTAGCCCCCCATGGAGAAATTAGCCATGAGCTGGGATTTGCCTTTGTATGGTGCCCACAGCAACCACTCGGATAGTTTGAAAAGAGCCTGTAAGGTATGTATGGTAGCCTGGGGGAGGGGGGGTGTTGGAGAACAAAACCAATGTTCTCAGAGTCCTTTGAGACCGATGGAAAAGCTTCTTGGGCATGCACAGCGATGAGTCTAAATGCAGCAGTTTCATTTCCATAGTGGGAATGGCAATACAGCAGTTTCTAAGACGTTGGAGTGCAAAAGGCACCTTATACATTCCGAGCGTCTTCTGTTAAAGTCTTGTGACTTAAAACACGCACATTGATTTTTGTTTTTGCTTCACACAATTTGAATCGGAACTTTGCACACTGTTCAGTTAGGACCTTTCATGCTAAATTTAAGGCAGAGATTTTTTAAACAGTTGAGTTGTTAATGCATGAAATTAGGAGGGTTCTAATGGAAATTCTCCTATATAGAGCAGTGCAATTGCTGTCATAAAGCAAATGGTAAGTTGCTGAGCCAGGTATCCCAGTACATTCAAACGTTAGTAAGTCAGCTACTACAATAAATTAACTTCTTCTTTCATGCTAAGATCTGTTTGTTTTGTTACCTCATTTCCTTCCCTTACCCTATTTGTCTCATCCACTTGTTGCATTTCATCTGACACTTAAATTGTGTAAGCTCTTTGCAACAGGGACTGTTGTCTTTGCTTCTTGATTGCAATACGTTTACTACAGTGGGGCCCTGACCATTGATTGATTGGGTTTCCTAGGTGTTATATAATAGAAATCAATGAGCTAAAGCCTATAAATAGGTTCCTATGTAGTTATCTTTCGGTTGATTTAAAAGTTATTTTAACACTTTTTCTGTGAACTTTGTTACTACCTGGCCTGAGTGCTAAGATACTGTGATGATACGTGGATAGATGTTAACCAAATCTATGTAAACTTGGCACTTACACAGTTGCTGTCTTCTAACATGTTGTTCATATTGCAGTGTAATGCAAAACTTTTGGCTTGCATTGGTGAAAGTGAAGTTCTAAACCCTTTCTCAGGAAGAGGCACTGGTCATGAGTCACCTTGTCCTGCTTTGTAAGGAACTAATTTGTGAAAAATGGTTTTTGAAGTTGGGGTAAAACCAATAGTCAACTTGGACAAAGAAGTGGAGTGATTAAAACATACTGTGGTATTCACTTGTTCTCTTATTGGGGCAGTGGAGCATTTCAGCTGCAGGGAAACTTCCCCACCAAGCACTGCATTGAAGATAGATTTTATTTTCATAAAATTTTACAGTGTGTGAGCTGCAAAAAAGAAATTGGAAGCTGGAAACTCTGAAAAGTGAGAGTGAAAAGGCAGATTGGAAGCCAGAGCAAGAGAGTCTCAGAATGGGACTGACAAGGACAGAGAGGTGAATTACTTGTTTGCTTCCAAGCCAGCTGTTAATTAACTGCCATTTGCATTTTAGAAACTAAAGCAATTGGATATAAAACATTCTGGTTCCAGTTACTAGGTGGGAAGTTGAATGAACCTTACAATATGGTTAACTCATTCTGTTTCAAGGAAGCACCATGTTCTGCTAATTTGAGCTTCAGGATGGAAGTTGGATGTAGGCTTTGATCCTGATTTACTGTGCTCAGTCCCCTTACTTGTGAAATGGGGATTTTTGCCTATCTTCTGGAAAGTATTGTGAGGCACTTAGAAATGTGCTACATCGAGATAGAGTATCTTGCATGTCTCAGGGAGAACTGATTCTTCCCACCCACACCTTTTGTTTCTCTTCGTGGTTTTTCTCCCCCTGCCAGCCCCATATAAGGTTGCACATAGTGGTAACCTTCCTTCCGGCTCTCAAAAATTGGTTATGCGCTCTAGAAAAGAGGGAAAGCTACAGGCATACAAGCTGCTTGCCACGCTGCTTATCCCTCAAATAAAAATAATCAGAAAACCAAAACCACATTGCAATGTGCTTGCCCTCATGTCTTTCATGTGGTAGCCTGGAGCACTAACCACAGAGCCACTGAACACACATTCAGTAACTAAAAAAACCTTGAATAACTTGAGAATGAGAGCGCGTCAGGCTTTCTGCTGTTGAACAAGTCAGGTACTGAGACAGATGGAACAAAAATGCTAACTTATTTTAAAGTGCAAAGTTCTCATGAAATCCTTGTTTTGCTGACATTTCTGCTCGGTGGTGTCCAAGCCACACAGGTCTGAGAGCGGGGCCCCATTTCCACACTGTTCTGTTAATCTTTATGTGGGAAAATGTAGTTGGACATGCCAATGACAAATTTCTCTGCTGCTCGTAATTGGCTGGCTTCATGGCAACCAGGGTCTAACTATTTGCTTGATTAATTCTTTAAGGACTACATTAGCAAAGTTGTATGATTTCCAAAGAGATACAAGGTCAAATGTTATACTAACAAAGACTCGCTTGGGGAAGTTCTCTCGGCCGAGTTTCTTCAACCAAAAAAATGTAATTTGTGTGCGTTACGTTCACTTTGCATACCAGGCAATTTGCATGTCAAGTGGAATGTTGGTGAATGTGGGCAAAAGCACTAGCCTGGTTTGTTCATTGGGCAAGTGCTTTAAATTGCACTTATTTTCCACGGGAAGGGATGGTTTTCTAGTCCCTGTTCAATTGAAAAGATGGATGAGAAGTGTGCATGCCTCTGTGCCTCTCCCAGCAGGATCCCAAGGGATAACCTCCACAGAAAGTACAGAAATGGTTGTACTGACTTGCATTGTCCCTGGATGTGTTCTTTTCCCTGACTGGGTGCAATAATAGTTCTTAAAGTGCCATTCAGAACAGGTGCTTCATATTGACACTTTTAAAAAAAATGAATTCAACTAGTTATCCATATCCAGTATGTAGAAAAGCTTCTTTTTGAGATAGAATGCCTAGTGGTTAGAGCGTAAACTGGGAGTCTGAAAACCTGCCTTCGAATCCTGACTCTGCCACAGCTTTGCTCTTTGACCCTAGGAAAGTCCCTTCAGCACGGTCTCATTTTCCCCATTAGTAAAGTGGGGTTCTGAGACTTTAAGAACGTACGTAATTAATAATAAACTCTTACTGTTTTTCTGTGATTTTTCTTGCATCGAAATGAAAAGAAAATGCTAATTTTGATTCACTCCAATGTTCTAGCTCAGTGTTTCTCAAACTGGGGTCACCGCTTGTGTAGGGAAAGCCCCTGACGGGCCGGGCCGGTTTGTTTACCTGCCCTGTCCGCAGGTCCGGCTGATCGCGGCTCCCATTGACCGCGGTTCGCTGCTCCAGGCCAATGGGAGCTGCTGGAAGCAGCGCAGGCTGAGGGACGTACTGGCCGCCGCTTCCAGCAGCTCTCATTGGCCTGGAGCAGCGAACCGCGGCCAGTGGGAGGCGCGATCGGCCGGACCTGCGGACGGGGCAGGTAAACAAACCGGCCCGGCCTGCCAGGGGCTTTCCCTACACAAGCGGCGACCCTAGTTTGAGAAATACTGCTCTAGCTAGTGACGAGCCAAACAGTAGAATATTTGCCTTCTAGACACAACTTGGTATCTTCAGGTACCAATTGAATCAGAAATACAATCAGATTTCCTTAAATTTCAGCGAGGAGGCAGTGCCTCACGTAAATTTGGGAGGTCTGTCAGATGCTAGCAAGAATTCCATATATTTGTATGAATTGGAACTCATACCTAGAAAACTGGCACCCAATTGGGTCAGTTTAAAAAGAGATGTTGAGGTCTGCTTGAATATGTTTTAATTTTCATGCCCTCACTTTTAATCTAATTTAACTTGATTCATACATCCTGAATTTGGAGATGTCCCTTTTGAAAAATGTAGGTTGTGAAGTGGCAGAGAGCTGCTGCGGGAGCTGTAGGGGAAAAGGCTTGGTCTTGCCACAGAGTGGTATTTTAGTTTTGATAGCAGCAAGGTAGAAATATGTTTTTGTTTTGTTTTTTGTAGTGAGCAACATAAAACTTGTCAGCTCTACAACAGCCTACTGAAGTTAATATCAGGGATACAAAGTACATAACTCAGGGGTCGGCAACCTTTCAGAAGTGATGTGCCGAGTCTTCATTTATTCACTCTAATTGAAGGTTTCGCGTGCCAGTAATACATTTTAACGTTTTTAGAAGGTCTCTTTCTAGAAGTCTGTAATATATAACTACACTATTGTTGTATGTAAAGTAAATAAGGTTTATAAAATGTTTAAGAAGCTTCATTTAAAATTAAATTAAAATGCAGAGCTCCCCGGACCAGCGGCCAGGACCCGGGAAGTGTGAGTGCCACTGAAAATCAGCTTGCGTGTCGCCTTCAGCACGCGTGCCATAGGTTGCCTACCCCGATATAACTACTGGTTTTCTGCCATTTAAAAAAACAGGATTATCGCTATAAACTTTATTCATACTCAAGTGGTTAAAATTTCTTTATTCCTAAGCATAAGTGTGTCACTATACTGTGAATATTACATAAGTCTTATTTTTATACCTTCATAAAGGTCTAAAGGCCTTAAATTTATCCCTTTGAAATGGAAAAATCCTAATTCCAGGTAAATCATAATACTTTTGTGCATTTGTTTTTATTACATAGTTCAGGATTTTTTCTGTAATGGAAATTTTGAATGGTTTGACCACAGTGAAGTGTGATGCCAAGGATGGGTTTATAGGAAATCCAAGACACACAAGTGTACGCTTGGTGGGTGGGGTAGAATGGTATTTGTAATACCTGGATTTTTCACCATTAAGCTCTAGGTGAATGTAAACCCTAATCTCGTTTCTTATATCGTAATTCATTGAGTAGATTATTTTAATCAAACCATTGTTTTCAGCTGTTTGATTCTGTATTGTTAATTATATGCTTCACAAAAGCCCAAATGTTAATACTTTTTTTAATTGAGCTGAGTAGTCCTGGTTTACATATTTTCACAGTTTAGTGCTTGAATTTAGTGTCTTGCCGACATGCTCATTATCTAACTGATCGCCATATTTGGGGCTGGGAAGGAATTTTCCCTGAGGTCAGATTGGCAGAGACACTGGAGGGCTTTCACCTTCCTCTGCAGCATGAGGCATGGGTCACATGCTGGTATGAATGAAAGTAAAATGGTGGATTCTCTGTAACTTGAAGCCTTTACATCGCAATTGAAGACTTCAGTAAGTCAGCCAGAGGCTATGAGCCTATTTCAGAAGCGGGGTTCTGTGACCTGCAGTGTGCAGGAGCTCAGACTAGATGATTATCATGATCCCTTCTGGCTTTAAAGTCTGAATCTATGATAATTGGGCCTTCAAAAGTATGAATGCACTTGTAGAAGCAAAGTTTCCCAACTCTTTAATGTGTGCAGTCTTACATATACTTAGGCTTGGAATGGAGTAAGATTTTTATCGGTAAATATCAGTACGCATCGATTTCACCCTACACACACAAACCGACAAAAAATATTTCTATCAATAATCAACATTTACAGATAGGCAAGGTCAGAAAAATGCTGCTTGAAAACTTCTTACTTTGATTTAAGGGTATCTATTCAGTATATTTTGACCTGATGTTGATAATTTGTGTTTTAATGGTTATAAACCTTTAACGTTTTGAATCTCAATGTCTGCTGTCGTTAAATAATTGTCTGACCGCCCATAATTTCCTGCAACTGTGAAATTGTAAATAGATAAAAACAGTGTTTTAAAATAAACATCAGTATTCTCCACTGAAGCGATAAAAAATTGAAATTGAATTCTGCCAAGCCAACACATACTCCAGAGTTCTACAATAGCTACCATCAATCTGTATCAGATAGTGATTTTATTCAAGGTAAATTATTTTGTTTTCAAGGTAAAGCATCTTACCTGGATGTCTGTCATTTTAATTCATCCCACTTTGTAAATCATATTAACTGTATTCCAGGGTATCCTGCTGGAATTTGCCCCTATTAATTTCTTATACGTGTTTAGCGATATAGCAGTAATGTCCAGAGTCTCCAGACAGAACACAACCCCACTATGCTGAGTATGGCACAAACCCATTGTAAGGCAGCCCCTGCCTTGCAGAGCTTGTAATAAAATAATTGCTCAACAATGTAAGAAAGAAAAAGTCTTCCCAAAAACAAAGAAAGGGTCTTTGGGGATTTGTTTTAAATATCTCACCTAGCCAGTCTCTGATGGGAATAGGAAGAAACTTTCTCTGTGGACAGGTTATTCCAGAGCTGCCTACTGGAGGGTTAGTTGCTGCTGTCTCCGAAGCAGCTGGTACTTCCGCTATTGGAAACAGGACACTGGACCATTGCTCTGATCCAGTGTGGCATGTCCTATGTTTTTGTGACAATCTGCTTTACTCTATGAACAAATCCCCTACCATTTTCTGAAGGCTCATTAAGTGAAATTGGAGAATTAACTTTTTACCCAGCTGCTGAACTTTTCATATTTATAAACACTTGAGGCTTTTGCTTATCTAAGAGAAAATGTGCATAGTTTGGAGATGTGCAGTTCCCTGCCAATATGTAATGATAATAGTTCTACACTTCGTATAAAAAATCCTAATGTTTCCTGTCACAAGCTGTGTGTGTCGATGCCAAGGGCAAAGGTTTCTTGCCTTGCTAATCTACATCTTAATTCGTAGATTTAATGTGAAGGTGTCGCATTAAAGGGGAAAAAAAGTCTTGGTGGTTTATAGAATATGAACTATATCTGTGAGCACTGTCTATTTGTTAGATTGTATTTATACTATATTGAATCAATGGTCTAAGCACTTTTTGCCTGGAAAACTAAGGAAATGTGCTGCATTCCTCCCCCAGCCTCCCTGATCAACGTCAAGGGGGTAGAACTTAATGAAGCAGCAGGACGATTCAGAGCAAAGAGAAACTCCATCCTAACTCATCCTGTTGTGCCTAGGTGTTGTGGCTCTTTTGGGGTGCAAGTTCCCCCAGTGTTCTGGCATCCAGATGATAGCAGACTGCACCATCTAAGCACAGTGGGGTGAGTTAAATTGAGTTTCAGCTCCTCCTCTGCGTTCTCTTGATTTTTGTAGATTTGTCAGACCCTCCAATATAGGATAATTTTTTTAAAAAGTGATAGTTACTCTTGGATGAGTTTATATACACACATTCTGTACAGTGTTATCACATTCCTTCTTGGGGCTATACTGTGGCTATAAGTGTCATACAAGCGAACATTAAGGTGCAATTAGAGCAAAGGACTGAAGGCCGGGATCTGCTGGGTTTTATCCCCAGCTCTGTCATTGTCCCATCAACTTCAGACAAGTCACTTAACCTCTGCCTCAGTTTGCCCATCTCTAAAATGGGAATAAGACTTCCCGTGTCACAGAAGTGTTGAGTGTTTAATGTTTTGTGACATGCACTGAGATGCTGAGATAAGTGTCTGTAAGTGTAAACCAGTATTAGTATTAAATTTCTACTTCATGGTGGCAGTACAGCAGCAAGGATGATGTAGCCTGGGTTTGATCTGAAGAAAGATGTGAGATTTCTCCATTCGTACTCCAATGATGCAAGATATCCCACTGCTTTTTTAACTCAAGCACAAACTTTTTCTGTTTTGTTTCTTCTAGTTCTTTGGGATGCTTCTTTCACCCTTCAATTTCATTATGGAAAAGATTAAGCGCTTCATGCCATCCAGTCTCTGGCATCAGCTGACCCAAATTTGACAGAAATGTGTTTTGCACAGTAATGAGTCCCGATGTTCTCAGGAACCTTATCACCAGCTCCCGTTGGGCAATGGAGCACTTACCTGGCAGCTAGAGGAGCGAAAGGAAGATAAGCTGCATTACTTAAACTGTTGTCTTCCATCTTGTTATAATGGTGCTTAAAGTAACCAAATCCCTTGTTTGGCCTTAGGATCTGTAATCATTTAAGAAAACATTTTTGTTGAACAAATAACTTGTTTGCTCCCTGAACCAGATGTACAAGTCGAGGCTGCTACTTTCTCTGTGCTAAACTTCAGAACACAATAAATCAGGTAGATGTTTTCAGTGTTGGCATTTCCTCCTGAACTGCCAATAGTGATACCGTCACTAGTCAGCCTCCCTGGTTTAAGTATTCCTAAAGGACTGAGTACAGTTCTGCACTCTCTTTATTAGAAGGCCCCTTTTGTAAGTAGCTGAATGTGTCGACCTTTTAAGTGGCAGTTTAAGACAGGTTACACTAGACAGTAAGCAGCACGAGCAGTCTGCTTATGTCCTATCCCATAGGCTTACGTTGCACAAGGAAACTAAGTGCACACTTAGAAAAAGCATCTGGATTCAGTATTCAGATCGTTCTAGGTTAAATGCTAAACATTCTGCCTTTGTTTTAGTTTTCAAAGTGAAAGGATGTAAGAATTGCCTTTTAAAGTGCCACCAAGATGCTTGAGGTACCGGTATATGAGTCATTTTGTGAGGCAGGGACTCCTAAAGGTAGGTCCAAGATTCGTACTAGCATCCACTGATTCTGAAGTGTGAAAACTGAAACTTGGAGCACTCCTGAGAGGGATAGCACACTTACATAGATGTCCACTGGTCAGTAATGTAAAGAATCTCCCAAAGGAGGTAGATGGCAGCAGCATGGCTTGGGACAATTGAAATGAGACATTCAGGGGGCAAATTGCCTGTTTTGTGCTTACAGGGCTTGGGTGTCTGTTACTCCTTTGAGGAAACAAAACCACACTAACCTTGGCCTCTTGAAGTATGGCAGTCGTAAAAATGTAACAGACATAAATGTAAAGGTATCTGCTTTTGGGTGGGGGAGGTGTCTATTCATAAAGATCAGTGTTTATCTGCATTCACTTCTGGAGTCCCAGGAAGGCTGTACAAGGCTGCTATCCTCACATTTCAACCATTTCACAGAGGTCTCGGGAGTGCAGCAACTCACGATGCTTTTCACTGCACTCTGGCCACATAACTCGGATTGTGGTGGCCGATAGAGTCCTCTCACACCCTCTTTCTTGTTACCGCCAGCCAAATGCAGAATGACTAACTTCTGTGCCCCTAATGGAAGCAGCTGCTGGGTGCTGCATATCGTCATGTTACTGTTTGGCGACACATAAATCAAGATCAGACATTCAAGGTTCTTTCGATCTTTTCTTTAAGCACTTCTGTGTTCATGGTGCTCCATGGAGTCAGGGCTCCTGAGGAGATGAGGGTATTCTAATTGATGCAAATAAAGGCCATGTTTAGCCAAACCTTTGATCCTATGGAAGCATCCCCACCCACCAGCCGCTCAGTCCAGTCTCCGGTCCCAGCCAAGGAACAGGTCAGGGCAAAGTCAGGGTCTGAAATCTGATCCACACAGTGGCAATGCAGTCTCAATAGGCTACATAAGGGATGTTTCCCCCACCAGTCAGATTTGCCCCGTAATTCCCCCTTGATGCAGGAGAATGAGCACGGATTAGCCAAATCCTCCTTTAATTTGTCATTGAAGGACTGTGAAGCAGCCGGTCATTAGCACATCCATCCTTAAGTATCTCTTATGCCACTATTGTGGCTGAGAGAAAGACACCCCCTTCGGGAGAAGCTGTGGCACAGCGTTTTTATCTCCCACTGTACATTTGCATTAATGGGGCCTTTGCTGTAGGCAGTAGGTTAAATACTTGATTTCATTTAGGAGTCAAGAGGGGAGATCTACAGAAAGATACTGACAAAGTTTTGGAGTTCTCCAACTACCGGTAGGTAATTTTCTCAACTTTTCCTTCCAATTGAATATAAGCCAGTGGGACTATTTCTCACTGTGGAATCATTGCAGTGATTAATAGACATGTTGTGCTCATGTAATTTCACTTCATGGCCCACAGGGGCCCAGAAGGTAACCAACCTAATGCTTTTTAAAGTTGAACATTTTCCAGCATTTGTGTGGGGTTATAAATGAAGCACTGCCTCCCATGTATCATCCCAAGAGCTGCTTTCTCTCACTGTCCTCCCCTGACATAACAGTAACAGAAAGGGGATGGGCTTGTGCCGAAAGCAGTGCTAGCAACTTTCTCTGTCATGAAAATCTGCTTGCCTTCCAGCGCTGTCAGTGATTCTTAATGAGGGAGCCGCTCTGTTTCATTTCTTAGGGGAACCACGCATGCCCTACATAGCATTCCTTTGCCATTTGTGAGCAGTGTCCCAGCACCTGATCCATACATAGCAATGCCATTTAACTGTATCCCCAGTGATGTGCACAGGTACCTCTATAGAAGTGGGTAATGATGGCTGCTCAGGGGAGATAGAAAAATCAACTATTGTTACCATATGTTCCATTTAAGAATATTTAAGCAAAGTGCAACACACAACCTCAAACACACCTAGCTCCTCACGGCAGCCCACACCCCATCATTTACCACCGGCGCAAACCCGCACAGCAACACCACCAGCACACGCAACAGCCACAAACCTCATTCAAGCCTAGCAGTCTGTTGAGTCAGTGAGAAGCGATGGAAACAGCTGCAAACAGGGCGGAGAGCTCTCTTTCGGATATCACCAGGTTTGTAGTTCACCGGGCTTTGCAGTCCGTTGCCCTCCAGTTCTTAAGTTCTCGACCATTTTTGGTTTTTTACACGTGACTTTACGAATTACCCCGTGCGACAACATAGACTTTCGGTTGCTAGCTTATCTAGAACTTTGTCATGACTGAGATTTCAAAGGAACCTACAGGAGGTAAGGTCCCAAATTCCCCTGGAAGTCAGTGGGCTAGGATACCAATTCCCTTAGGCCCGTTTAACACACTGCCAGGGAACACAGTATCCCTGTGTGTTGTACCCTTTTTTATGCTCTTAAACTGAGGCCTGGGTAAATGAATGATTCAGAGAAAGAAACCTGTTTCTGCTAGAAATTCTCTCTATATCTTAGTCCCCTTTGCACAGGTCTGAGCATTTCCTGCTTCTGCAACATCTGTCAAATAAATCCTGTCATTAAAAAGATTTCCACTCGCTGACCTGCTGCGACTGATGCGGCATTTTGCGGGTTGCAATATGTTTCTGTGTAACAGGGTCTGTGTGAGACAACATCACTTCCCTCGGGCTTATAAACCAAAGAGGGAAGGCCCTTGGTGCCCTAGAATTCCTGGTGATTTATTTACAACACTGCAAGCCTTTTGTATAGGGGAGAGGGGACAGGTGCACGTGCCGCTGGACTTCATTGTTACCCATCAGCGTGTGTGTAGTGACTCTGCTAACCAAGGTCATGGGGGCAAGCGCAGTGCAAATGTCATGTTGGCACAATGAAGGCCGTGTCCTGGCCATGGCAGTTGAGTGGAAGAGGTTCCCGGGGCAGTTTTGCTGCAGCCTAATTCCCACTTACTGCGTCCAATGAATTTATTCCCCACCCCCTCAGTTTGGAATTGTTGTGAAGGTGCCAAGGCTCGTAGATCCCCGACTCTGAGCGAGGCAGGGTTCAGGGGTCGCAGGCAAAACCATTAATAACAAGGTGCAAACGGCTGGTTTATATGGAACGTGAAGCTTTTTACTTATTTCGTTTTTGCACTTTGGGGGCTCTGTCTGGTTGCTTACGGAGCACTTGGTGTCTGGTACCTATTTTGGCTGAGAGCAGGCGATTGGGTTCCTACAGGGCTTCGGAGGAATGCAGCAAATTGTTCTCTGGTGTTGTAATTCTGCAGCAGTAGCTGGAGCTTGTCTTCCAGTTATTAAATACATGCTCATCTTGAGGTCCTTTTTCTTTCTGGGAAGCAATGGGTGAAAACCTCCAGAAATACAGACTGGAGAGGGTCAGTGGGGGGGGGGAGGCGGTGCTGGGGCCTGCCTCTCTCCTTCAGCTGGATCACAGGTCTCTAGTACCAGCAGACTGAAGCGGTTAAAACGTGAGCTAGTTCCCCAGAAGGAGGTGGATGCTCTTATCGGATTCTCACAGGCATAAATGATCTGAGCCTATCATTTCTGGGCTGGGGGAGAGGAGCAGCACTCCCCAGTTTGCTAGGATCTGGTGCTGGGGTGTGGGAGCCAAGTTGAATAACTCCCAGGATTTCAGGATAGGAATGGCTGCAGAGGTAGGGGCTTCCTCTCCCGAGGGACCAGAGGACAGTGCAGCTGCTGACGGTGCAGAGAGAGACGGGGGTGAGGAAGAGGTGCAGTATAAAATCCTGCCCAGCAGCCTATGAGCAGCGCCAGCTTTCCATGTATGTTGCACTTCCAAAGAACCAACTGGCATCTCATCTGCCTGTGGACAGCGGGTGTCCACTCTTCTTTACCCAGGTTGCAGGGTAGAGTGAGCGGCCTTCGGACAAAATCGCCCCTGTGCCCTCCACTCTGGGGTTATATAGACAATTGCAGCAGAAACCCACTCCCACTTCGAATCCTCTACAGTCTCACTCCACCTGGCCTGCCACCCATTCACTCTGCTTCCCTGTCCCCATTTCGCCCCTCTGGCCACCAACCTCCCTCCCTCCCCTGTCAGGGCACCGTGTGCGCTGCTGCCGATGGCTTGGCAGCTGGGCGTTGCTGTCTCTAGTGCTGCCCATCTCTTTTGAGCTTTGCCTCTCCCTCGGAGCCACTTCCCCTTCAGTCTGGCCTTTTAAATCTAAGGAACCCTGTCTGAGCCAGTGTCCTGAGGATGCTGTGTAACACACTGTCTCTACCATAATTCATGGTATCAATTGACGGTTTCCATGGGGTTCATGTCTCTCTCTGTGGGGGGTCTCTTCTCTTTAGTCTTTGGCTCCTTGTTTGTTTGGTGAATTCCTGGCTCTAGCCCTAGAGCTTTGTCCAGTGATGTGTTCCTCTGCTCTTGATAGCCTCTGAATTATGCAACCACAGCTTGGGCTCAGAAACACCCTGCTGTCTAGATTTCCCCTCTAATCCCGCTGTAGGCTATCATCAGTCATACAACGGACTCTGACTAGTGCGTTCTCTTGTCCTGAGTCATCAGCTGAGATTCCAGGGCCGTAATCCAGCCCTTCCCCCTCCTCCACTGCTCTCTGGGGCAGCCTCTCATGTTCAGTAATAATGGACTTGGAGGCTGTAACAAAACAAAACAAAAAAGTCCTCCCACGTGGGTCACGACAGGTTATGCAACAAATGTCCCAAGAAATCTGACCCTGGGGCTTGGCGCTGTGGTCCCTGCTGTGGGGCAGCATGGCGGCTTGGCTAGCACATGTGCGTACCCCCTCTCAAGGTGACAACTGGCAGGTGTATGTCAGCAGAGCTCCTTGTGTCCATGCACACACACAGGAGACGGGCACAGCATGGGCTGTTGGCTAAGTGTACAAGTTGTTGGTGGGTCTATGGCAGCAAGGAGGCACTTTCAGGGCTGGGGCACATTGGAGCAGTCCCCTGGCTCTCCTTAACTGCCTGTTTCTGACTTTAACCATGTCTTGTAACTAGCACCATGTTATCCACGAAAAGCAGGTCATTGTGTAGTCAGGGCACAGTGCTGGCTCTCACTCATGCACGGCTTCTGAGGAGGAAAATCCCGTACTCAATTTACGTCCATTTGGAAGCGTAGGATATATCCAACCGGTGCTTCATTTGTAATGAAAGCAGTGCCCGGGCTCAAGCAATTTTTTTACATTCATAACTGATGCAGCAAGCCCAGCGGTGCCAGGGCTGTGACCTGCCAGGCCCAGCGGTCCCAGGGCTGTCACCGGCCAGGCCCAGAGGTGCCGGGACTCAGCCCTGGCAAGCCCCAGCACAAATTAAGCACTGCATCCTACCTCTTACCCAGCCCCACTATGTGTCCTGTCCAAGATCTCAGCCTCACAGCCATCCATTCAGAAACCCATAAAGCAATTAATTCTGCTCCTTGTCTTTTGGTTCAGACAGGCCTTGGTGAATTTCAGGATGATTAGCACATGATCTTCCATGGAGGGCTTTCCATACACTTAGCACAGATCACTTAAGAGAGGTTAGTGAGTGGAATTGAGTATCCTCTGACAAGACTCCAGCCTTAGTAAGCTCTTACAGATAGAAAACATCTGCTTTCTAAGGGGGCTTGTGGTGAATGGAGGGGGAGTTTGTTGGTCCCATTTGTAGCAGAGCACAAGGGAGGTCTGAATTTCATTAGCCCTGCAAATGGAAAGTCTCCACATTAGGCACGAGAAGGTAGTTCCTTGTAACCAACTTATTTCTAATTGCTAGATATTTAATGACTAATTCTTTGCTGAGAGAACACGGGGCAAACATTAGCTGTCTCACAGTGGCCGCTGTGTGGTCACAGATGGGTGGAGAGGCAAAGGGAGTTCTCCAAGGCTGCACAGCAAGTTGGTTGCAGAGCCAGGAGTGAGCCCTCTGCTAACTCCACTGGGCCACTGTCCTTGTCTGTGCTACTTTGGATGTATTTCAGTGTTGCTGATACAAGCTCCTTTGTTAATGCCAGCAACCCACTCAAACCCAGGGAAGTGTCAGGCATCACTGTCTGCCCTGTGCCTTATCCCATGCATGGCTGGAAAAAAAAGAACACATTTCTACATTGCTAGGTGTGAGATGTGCATGCAGTCCTGCTTGGACTCCCTCGAGGCCTTAAGCAAGCCACATAAGGCCCAGTTTTCAAAGGTGTTAAGCACCTGCCGCTCCCACTGGCTTCAGCTGGGGTTGTGCTGCCTCAGTGTTTCTGAAGATTTGGCCCTTAACTCGTCTGCTTTGGCCTTGCTGTCTGCAAGACGAGGATAATCCTGCGCAGTGCTGTACGGGTTGATGAATGTCTGTCACATGCTAAGGATGCCCCTTGTAGGGAGAAGATAACTTTAATATTTCCTGCCTTATGTGCAAGTCACAAACACCCATCCTCCGTGATCTCCTAGACGTATTCCAGCACTGGTTCACACACCTGCCTGCTCAGTCTCTCTCTTCCCCCCGGTGAGCACCTCTCACAGAACCGGCACAGCTCATCCGAAATGACCTGGAACTTGTTATTGCCTTATTGGGAGTGTGTTAAAGCTCAGACTGACTTTTCCCAGTCCCTCAGAGGTCACACTCGTGCCCTGTTTAAACAGATGTAAGCACCGACGGAGGAGTGACACATCCCCTATCTGCCCCTTGTGCACACAAGTCACTCCCTCATTTTGCACAAAAATCCACCTCCCCCATCTCGTGTCTAACATGCACTGTAAGCTTATTGGAGCCAGAACTGAGACTTTTGTCTGTAATGTCCTATCGAAATCATGATTATTTTACCTCTGGCTGCTCATTCCCCTTCATCTATCTCCAGTAATGCCCCTAGGAGAAGCGCACATTGGTAGTGGTGGATTGTTTCATTTGCATTTATTTGGACTCTTGAGATTTTTCCTTCCTCTTCTACGGCGTGCCTAAAAAACTAAACAAAAAGGCAGGGTGGTCTTGTGATGCAGTGGAGTGGGATTCAGGAGATCTGGCTTCAGTTCCTAACTCTGCCACAGACCCCTCCTGTGTGACCCTGGGCAAGTCACTTAGTCGCTGTATGCCTCAGTTCCCCACCTGTGAAGCGTGGAGAATACTTCCTTTTTCTCATCCTTGGTCTACCTGGTTTATTTAGGACTATACATTCTTTGGGGCAGAGATTGTCTCACACTAGATATGTGCAGCCTTCAGCACAATGGGGCCTTGCTCTCACTTGGGGCCTCTAGCTGCTTCTTTAATAATTGCTAACAGGCATCCTTAATCCACTGCCCCGTGTCATTCTAATTCCCCATCATGCCGGGGTGGGGAAGGCCACAATTACCAGTGCTTGAGAGGCTTGCCCCTTCAGCTGCTGTCACACCGTGAAATGACGCTTTCCCAAGGTTAACCTTGTAGCGTTGGTGTGGTTTGCAGCTAGGAAGGGAAAGCCAATAAACCCCCGTGGCTGAAGCAGCCTGCCAGCATTGTTGGATGGTGTGCAAGACTTTTTTCTCCATTGCTTTAAAATATTGAACACCCGCGTTCAGGGAGAAGAAATATTCCAAGGCTTTAATGGCAGTTAATGATGAAGGTGCAGCACATGTCCTGTCATTCATCAGGTGGACCTGTAAACCCGCAACATTGTATTTCTGCCAGAGGAGCACTCCCGAAAGGTCTGCAGGGAGAAAGAAACGTTTCTTCAACACTGAGGGCACTGGGGTCCTTTCTGGCCCATTCAGTGTGCATTACCCAGGGGGAGGGGAGGCAGATTTCTTGCAAAAATTCTTTTTTTCTTTTTTAGTTTGTCTTAAATTGATGGCAGGCGGGGCCGTAATGAAGATAAATGAGGGGCGCTCTTCCTGGTAGATTAGACCTTGCACAGGTGAACACGTCTGCTACAGCAGCTTTGAAATGCCCTGGGTGGAGTACAAACCCTTCACCTGCAGGAATTCCACCAACACCCTTTGGAGAGGAAACAAATCGCTGTGAAAATTGCATAATGTCGGAAACCCAGAGGGGTTTGGAGAGCCCAAGGGGAGGCACCAAAACCTCTGAGATGAACAAACCTGACCTTGAACCAAAGCCTTGCATCAGCTGAGAGAGGCTGGGAGCTGCTGGTGGGCCCTCTAACAACTAATATGAGCACTGTTCAAAAGGGAAACCAGTCTGTAACTGCAGTGCATTACCAGCCCCTGCTGAACTTGTAGTGTTATCAAATGTCCCCTCTAGTCCGTGTTCACACACAAACCCATCCAGTGCTGCACTGGCCCTGCTCTGGGCCTCTAGGCTGGCCGAGGGGCGAGTCCTTTGCCATTGCATTTCATACAAGACTAGTTCAAGTTTCAGCTCATTACCTTGTCTATATGAAAAGGATTCAGCAAGGGCCAGATGGGGAGCCCCTTCCACTCCTGGGCAGCCCACACCAACTTGCCATGCAGAGGAAGGGATTCACAGCTCGGCTCACCAGCAGACGGTTTCGATTCCTGGGATGCGTCTAGGTAAGCTGGTTCCCCCACTTCAGCCTAGTAACTCCCGAGGCAGAGCGGGGTAAGATCACAGTCCAGAGCAGGAGCTTCATTCCGAGCCGTGAAACGGCACAGGCATGGGTTAAAAATAATCATAAAAAAATCCCTTTGCTTTAATCTCTCCCTGCCCCGCTTCTGCTGGCTGCATCTCTAACTGCCTAGTGCTAGAGGAGGCTAATCAGAGAGTTTTCCCAGCTCTCTTAGGCGTGGTGGAAATACAAAGAGGTGCAGAAAGGACCCCCCCAATTTTTTCAGATGGAAAAAAATGTAAACGTTGAATTGTCCATTGCCATGGAAACCAGTGAGCCGTGTTTCCAGGGAAGTTGGATTTCATTCCAGTTGCTTTAGGTTTATGACACCCTTGCAAACTTGCATAAAAATGTCCAGGTTCAGGCACACCGGTTACTCACCTGCCCTTCAGCAGGATGATTGAGCATGGAAAACCCAGTCACACTTTAGTCAGCCATCAAACCAGCATGGGCAAATAGGGAAACAAACTTGGGGAGGAGAGTTTAGAGGCATCCTTAACCATTTGATTCAGTATCATGGCATTTCATATATATTGCCTTTAAAGGACTTGTATAAAATGACACAAAAACAAACTATATCTGTATCCCAGTAAATAAATACACTACTGTAAACCCACCAGGCGGGGAGGGGAATGTGCATCGGACACACTAAATTACAGTTAACTCCTAAGGCACAATACTGTCCAAGCAACGGTGCATACTCTTGGGAGTTGGACACCACAAATGGTGGGCCAGTCTATACGCCAAAATTACATTGGGTTAGCTACCTCGGTTTCTGAACCAGTTTAGTTACACTGGTGCCACCTGCTTGTTAGGAAAGTCTTAAACCAGCTCAGAGTGGCTAACAAATCAACGTAAAGCACCCTTAAACCAAATTCTCTGCACTCCAAGGCTTGAACTATACTCATTCAGAAACGTAGGTAGTTGGTGCAATTTCTGTGTGTAGACCAGGCCTAATTTAGGACTTGCGGTGGTGGGGGGCAAGGGGTGGTGTGTGTGGGGTGGTAACAAGTATTTTTTTCTATCAACTTGAATTTCGGTCAATAATAAAGTTTCAGCCACTCAGCAAAGATCTGGAGGCTAACCTAGTACTTGGTCTAGCACTGTGCAGTCAAGCGGCTTACACAGAGAACTGCCCGCCTATAAGGCAGCCAGCGGTAGAGACAGGAGGCTCTACCTGAACTATTGTTCTGTTCTGTTCTGGTGGGACGTGTCTGGCATGCTGACGAGCTTCATGGAAAGCCAAGAATGATCATTTCAGGGGGTTGTGGTGGAAATCTCACTGGAAGACTGCACCATCTGCCAGCCTACAGGCTTTAAACGGAGTGGGGAAGCAGGTCGGCCTCTGTATTGGAGACTGTGAAGAGAAGCTCTCGCTCCCAGTCACACGTGTAGTAATGCACAAAGCAAAGAGCGTTGGTTTCTGATATAGGTTTATAATGAATTTTATCTTAAAATAATAAAGCCGTATACACAACATACAAATGAGTTTTACAAAGAGCCACTGTTATATAAGTTTACTTTAAAACCTACCAGTCTCTTCACAGACTCTTTGCTCTCTTTCTCTCTCTCTGGACTTTTTCCCCCCTTTAGTAGTTAATCAGATTTTGGGTGACAATTTGCAACTCTGCCTGTCCTCTTCATTGAGGAGTGGAAGAAAAGTCCACTTACAAAGAGTTGCTCTTGTCAGCTCCTGTCTCTAGTGCAGCCGTGCATTAACGTGCTGGGTCTGTTTGAGACCATCGCGCTTCCTTAGGGCTTTGCAACATCCTTCCTTGGGCCTCGCTAAAAACAAAGCAAAGAGAGAGAGCTTTCTGCAAGGATTTCATAGTTTGCTCTAGGTTGGTGACGGTGGTTTTGGGTTTTTATTTTTGTTCCTGGTGAAATTTAATTTATAGCAAGAAAATTCTTTAGGGACACGCAGGGATCCGTCACTCACATTCCGACGATCGGTCTCACGTTCGTAAGCAGCTGCGCTGACCTTTTGCAAGACGACAATGGGCAGAAGACGCTTCACAGTTTAAGCAATGATTGCAGACTCCTTCGAGGGAAGGGGATAGACTTGCTGAGCAGTTGGAAGGGTCCACGGTATCTCCTGGGAAATGTAGTCCTGTCGTTAGTGCTTTGCAGAATTCATTAAATAAAAGCCATGCAGCTGAACTACAGCTCCCGGAATGCCATGGCCCATGGGGCACGGGTCGTGCGTGAGTTTGTTTTTTCCCTCTCTGGTTCCTGTCTCCTCAGGTTTGGTCTAACCACTCGGCCCGCTTCGGTGCTTTACACGTGTGCACGTCAACAGTGTCCTCGCACTCCTTGCAGCGCACAGCGCAGCACCAGTGGAACTTGCACTCGCACTTGGTGATACGCGTGACGCGGGTGGTGTCATAGCCCCGGCCACAGCACATGACCTCGCAGCCGTCGGTCCCACGGGACAGTTTATTGCACACACGACCCGCCGTCCCCAGGGAACCTGTAGGAAGGAAGCAAGGGTTCATTACACTGTCCCGCTCAATCTCGCTGTGAATGAAAACGCACCATTGTGACATAAGAATGGCCCTACTGGGTCAGACCCAAGGTCCATCTAGCCCAGTAGCCTGTCTTCCGACAGTGGCCAATGCCACAGAGGGAATGAACAGAACAGGTCATCATCAAGTGATCCATCCCCTGTCACCCATTCCCAGCTTCTGGCAAACAGAGGGTAGGGACACCATCCCTGCCCATCCTGGCTAATAGCCATTGATGGACCTATCCTCCGGGAACTTATCTCGTTCCCCTTGTATAGTTTTTGGGGCGATTTTCCAGGCATTGCTATCAGGGGGCTCTCTGAAACCAACTACTGTCCATCTAGACTTTAAGGTCTTTGGGCCAGAGCCTGCCAGTTTTGTTCTCTGTCTGTACAGCACCTCACATGGTGGGACCAGGTCAGGATTGGGGGGCCACTAGGCCCTACTGCAATATAAGTTGGAGAGACTGAGTTTAAACACATGCTGTTTTAGTAGTGCATGAACTCCTAATTTACTGTTTTTACATGGTAGGTTCTTGGGTGCAGGGACCGTACTGTGCCTTGTGGGTCAACAGCAGTATGTTTATAGATCTATGGACCAATTGTCTTTCTGCCTTAGCATTCAGCTCCCTCGCCCAGAGAGGACGTGAATCCTTACACAACAGCTCCAGGTCTTTCTATGAAATGCAGAGCACCATTTTCTGTATACATTTTCAACCAGGCCACATCCTTGAACCATGTTTCATTTGTGTCCTGTGGCTCAGAACTCACAGGGCAGATGGGTTCAGAAATAGAGACGCTTTGCCCCGAGGTGCTCTGAGCGCTGGCCCACATGGTGGAGCCTGGTCATACAAAGTGACCTGCTTTGAAGTCCCTGATCCCGTGATAGCCCCATAAACAAAAGCACAAGCATGGCATCTACTGGCTAGTGCTCAGGGGTCATTGGGGCCCAATTCCCCGTGGCCCAGCACCTCAGGCTGATGATTAGACCAGTGCAACGTGGGTGGGAACCACTGCCACATTGGCACAGTAACATTCCCCACTCACTCTCCACTGGCGTAAATGACTGCACCAGGCGCAGGGAAATGGGGAATTGGTTCCCATAGATGAGGCCCTCTGCCTGCATGGACATAAATGGTATCAGCTAAGCCCCCTAAACAGCAGCAGGGAAATACCCAGTAATGCATGCTTTAAACAACACAGGGAGAGCCGAGGGGTCGCTCAGGTCCCAAACCGTACCTGCATGCTCTTCCCTAGGTCTGTACGGTTCCTGGAATTCTTGGGCTCTAGTTTTCCTAGCACAAACCCCTCGCATTCTCATTTTGGGGGCAGTGTTGTGTGCAAGTGCCCGTGTCAATGGAGAGCCTTTCCTCTCCTGCGGGGTTTCTGTTGGAGGGTGTGGGGGGGTCTGGGCCCTGAGGTCACATCTTCTGTCTAGTATCAGATGAGTTCAGATCTGCCCTGGCTGAGGTCAGGTCTCTGAGGGGAAAGAGGCCCCAGTTTGGTCTCTAGCAGCCACTCTGAGCTGTCTAGCCATAGCTGAGGGACCGAGCTGGTGAGGGACAGGGACCTTCAGCCTTGCTGATCACGCCTTATTCAGACAGGCCTTGGGTTTCTGGGGAATTGGGGCAATGCACTGAGTAAATTCTTTCTTCTTCTGGCCTCTCCCTTGGATCCAGTTCAGGGGTTGTCTAGACACAAACCGGCCCCCTTTCACCTCTGTCTGACACGTGAACCGGTTTAGAAATGGCTGATCTTGCTTTTGCCTAAACCAGCTCAAGCCAGAAAAGTTGAAGCCACTTCTGCCCTGGCAGGAGCTCGTGTCAGTTTAACGAACCTGATGGAAGTGTGTATCTACACCAGCCCCGTGCTCCTGGTTTCAGCAGCGAATGCTCGCCAGGTGTCTGGACATTGGGCACTGCTGAATCCCCTCTGGAGCTGCAGGCTGTGCCCATCCTAGCATCAGTGTCTGCGCTGCTCATCAGCTTCACACAGGGCTGCCCAGAGGATTCAGGTGGCCCAGGGCAAAGCAATTTTGGGGGCCCCTTCCATAAAAAAAAGTTGCAATACTATAGAATACTATATTCTTGTGGGGGCCCCTGTGGGGCCCAGGGCCTGGGGCAAATTGACCCACTTGCCCCACCCCGGGTGACCCTGGCTTCACAGCACGACAGGCCAGATTCAGCCGGCTGGCTTCGGGGACTCTGTACTGCTCATGCCAGGCCTAGGGAAGCAGGTAGCACCGGGAGAGTGGTGGTAGCAGAGCGGTTCTTCTTCGAGTGATTGTTCATGTCCATTCCAAGCAGGTGTGTGCGCGCCGCGTGCACGCCAGCCCGCAGCCCGCACACACCTGCTTGGAATGGACATGAACAACACATCTCGAAGAACAACAGTTACGAGAAGGTGAGTAACCGTTTTTTCTAACTCGTGCTCAGTGATTTCTAGTATCCAGCAAAGGCGGTAACGCAGACTTGTCTGTTCTGCTGGAATCCTCCTGCCTGTGTGCCTTGCCAGCTGGTGTGAGGGAGGAGCAGAGAGAGTCTGCGGGGAGAGGCATATAAAATAGCAGGCCCAGGGTTTAGAGGACTCCTGGGCTCTCAGCTCTGCCACGGCATTCATTCTGCCGCTGCCTCCCCACCAGTACAGCGGGAAAGGACCAGGCCCGCGGGTGCTGCAGGGGTTCGTGTGTTTAATGCTCTTTGGGTCCCTAGGGAGGAAGAGGCTACAGAGGTTGAATCTGATGAACAGCCCACGCGCACAGGCTCCCGTGGCCCTGAGCCGGGACCAGCACACGCTTTCCAGGCCGCCGCTCCTGAGACAGCAAGCTGGGCATGGTGCCGCTCCACGGAGGGGACCCTCTGGCTGGGCCCCTTCAGGGGGGCTGGATGTGACTTTCTCCTCCGAGCTACTCCCCAATTCTTGAATCATTTCTGTCACTGCTACCTTTGCCCCTCTTGCTGCCCTGGGGACCGTCCTCGCACTTCTATCTGTGCGTTCTGTATGCACAACCAGGGCCGGCCCTGTTCGTGCTCTCTGCTGCTCCTTTGGAAAGCGCTGCATGCTTGGGGTGATTTCCAAGCTGCCTTTCCTAGCCCAGAGCCTTCCGGCTGCACTGGCCCATCAGCCAGACCCTCACGGCAGCTCCTAGTGTGTGAGAGGTGGAGATTTGGAAGCAACCTCCTAAAATGGCTGAAACTCTCCTATTAAACATCCCCTTAGCTTTGCTGATCTTCCTTCCCCACCCCACCTTCTGTCCGTGCACTAATCTGTTCTCTAGGCCAGGTACAGGCCAGGTATATCCCCCCCGCACCTCCCTCTCGTCTTCGCAGTTTGGCTCTGCATTCCCTGGGTTTGCTCTCTCCCTGTGCCTGGCCCTGTCTCCCCTGGGGTGAGTTACTCTGAGCTGGATGGAACACGCAGCCAGCCCTCCCTTGAGGCAGGTATGCAGAGAGCTCTCCCCACTAGCGTGTGTCAAATTCCCTTCACTTGTGGTTTAATTATCCTGTATGACGGCTGGAGAGGCCAAGTACTAGGAGCAAAGGTTTATACACAGCAGGAAGCTACTGGACCTGGGACCTGTACTTGGCAGACAGCTGGGCAGGAGACAGCTGGCTTGAGTGTCCAGTTAAGTGGCCCTGGCCAATCCCTATTTAGAAGCGGAAATGTCTCCCTCCAGTTGTGAGGCCCTCTGCAGGGCTAACGGCCTTTGCAGAGCCGGTGCAGCTGCCAGTGAACTGGCACGGCTGCTCTTACCCCACACCGCCTGGAAGTCCAGGCTTCTCTGGTCGTGCAAAAAGAAAAAAAAAAAGGACCGTGGCCTGCTGCTGCTCTGAAAACCCCATGTAAAGTTTGTTCATTGCTCTCTGCAATGGTAGGGTTACCATACGTCCGGATTTTCCCGGACATGTCCGGCTTTTTGGGCCTCAAATCCCCGTCCGGGGGGAAATCCCCAAAAGCCGGACATGTCCGGGAAAATAGGGAGGTAGGGCGTGGCGGTGCGGGGCCGGCGTGGTGCTGGGCCGCCCCAGGGGCCGGGCC